CCTCTGCTGTTCTTTCTGCAACACTTACACACATGCAAAAGGAATTTGTGGATTGCTTGGCTCTAAGTGAGCAAGATGAGCCCATTCAGTTCACGGATGACTTTTTACAAGAGACCTTTGGCATTACCTGAAGATGACCGGCTAGATACAGAGCCGGCTCACCGAGTGTCGGTCAGCCCCTTCTTTCGAAGCTGCTGAAAAACCTGACCCACATATTGTGATCTTTCTTCTTTTGCGTTAAGAGCCAGAATGTTTCTGATCGCAACCGCCCGCCCTCTTCCCAAGACGTCACCTTTTAAACAGAGTTGCACCTGCAGTTGTTTGCGGGGAAGTCACCTGAAGAGCCGGTTCTGCTGAGATCGTGACGCTGGCTTTGTTGACCGAGCACTCCAAGCGCAGGACAAAAGGTATAACCTTCAAAAAGACGCCAGACGTGGCTCTGGGAAGGTGGTGGAAGGAGCTCCCTTTCTGTCTCTCCCCCACTGCAGGGGGAGAGAAGCCCTCCAGGAACATGCCAAGACAGAGTCTTGCACCCATTGCTTGCAAATATGTTTGCAGAGGGGTAGCAGCCCCGAGAGGCCACTAGGAAGCTGGTGACTGTCCCTCAAGTGTGGCGATGATGTTTAGAATCAGCTTGGAACTTTCTTCTTCTTCTTTACTTATTTTTTATCATTATTATTACTATTATTTTATTTTTTAATCCATTATTATTATTACTATTATTATTATTATCATCATCATCATCATCATTATTTCTCTTTCCTTTTAGTCCCCTCTTAGTTTCTTAGTTTGTTTTTGAGGGGAGAGCCTTACCTCCCTCCATCGTCTTGCTACTACTACCATCCTCTCTAAAAATTAAAATAAAATAAAAAATATTTCCCCCCCCCCCATATCAGTGATATTGCTACTGGTGCCTTCCCCCCTGCCTTTTCCTTTTCCTTTTTTTTCTTTTCCTTTCCTTCTTCCCCATCACCTCCCTCTTTCTCTCCCCCCCTTTCCCCCTCCTTCTCTTTAAAAGAACGCATACACACACTCACACGTACACACACACATATAAGTAAAGTAAGTAAATAAATGTAGCCCTCTAGCCACACCTCATGGACTAAGGCTCTCTTTGCCAGTGGGGCTTTAGCGCACAAAAGCTCAAGCTCCAATAGATGTGTTTGTCTGTGGTCTAAACCACTGAGCCTCTTGGACTTGCCGATCAGAAGGTCAGCAGTTCGAATCCCCGCGACAGCTTGAGCTTCCATTGCTCTGTCCCAGCTCCTGCCAACCTAGCAGTTGGTAGAAAGCACGTCAATGCAAATGGATAAGTAGGTACCACTGTGGCAAGAAGGTAAGTGGCGTTTCCGTGCGCTCTAGTTTCCATCATGGTGTCCTTTTGAGCCAGAAGCGGTTTAGTTCTGCTGACCACATGACCCAGAAAGCTGTCCGTGGACAAACGCCGGCTCCCTCAGCCTAAAAGTGAGATTATGTTTGCCCCTCTCAAAAGGGCTCTATACATATTTTCATTTCTACATTATTTTTTACTGTTGGCATTTGATATACAAATACGACTCCCAGGCATCACAATCTTGACATCTTCAGATCCCTCATCTCCTTCCCTCCCCCTTTCCTTCTTTGATTTAATCTGCTTTTCTAGTCCCTCTTACCTTCCTAACCCTAAAATCTACATACACATACCTCCCCACACACTTTCATTAGCAATCCTCCCTCCCCAGTGGTTTTTTACCTCATACTATAACTAGAACTGGGACGTGGGTGGTGCTGTGGGTTAAACCACTGAGCCTAGGGCTTGCCGATCAGAAGCTTGGCGGTTCGAATCCCCACGACGGGGTGAGCTCCCGTTGCTCGGTCCCAGCTTCTGCCAACCTAGCAGTTCGAAAGCATGTCAAAGTGCAAGTAGATAAATAGGTACCGCTCTGGCGGGAAGGTAAACGGCGTTTCCGTGCGCTGCTCTGGTTCGCCAGAAGCGGCTTAGTCATGCTGGCCACATGACCCGGAAGCTGTACACCGGCTCCCTCGGCCCGTAAAGCGAGATGAGCGTTGCAACCCCAGAGTCGGCCACGACTGGACCTAACGGTCAGGGGTCCCTTTACCTTTTTTATAATTAGAACCACCACTGCAACCAAGTACCGTAATTTTCGCTCTATAAGACGCACCAGACCACAAGACGCACCAAGTATTTGGAGAAGGAAAACAAGAAAAAATATATTCTGAATCTCAGAAGCCAAAACAGCAAGAGGGATCGCTGCCCAGTGAAAGCAGCAATCCCTCTTGCTGTTCTGGCTTCTGGGATAGCTGCGCTGCGTGCATTCGCTCCATAAGACGTACACACATTTCCCCTTACTTTTTAGGAGGGAAAAGTGAGTCTTATAGAGCAAAAAATACGTTATTTTCATCTTTCTTTGTCTCTCTCTCCCTTTCTTTCTTCTCCTTCCCTCCTTTTCTCTCTCCCCTTTTTACTTCAGAATCAGCTTGGAAGCCACACTTGCCTCGGCCGCATTCAGAACACAACCACCCCCCATTCAGCCACAGACCCTCACCACCTCTGCTTTCCCATTGGCACCAAGATTGTAAGGCAAGGATTCCACCGTTGGCAATACTGGCCAATGGCCTGACTTGGTGGGAGGCTCCCCATGAACCAGGTGCAAAAGCCTGCCCCCTGGTGGCCTTTGACAAAAACAACACACAGCTCCATAAACTCTCCTGAACTTTGCAATAGGTCACCAGAAGCCACACTGGGACACTTGGCTCCGATCCATGTGGGGCCGAGGGCAGACTTCTGTAGGCTTGGCTCCGGGCTCAATTCCTCATGCTCCTGTGACAGTCATATAAAGGCAAATAAGGATGCAATATACAAAATCACCGGCCCTTCAGAGAGGCAATCAAGGTCTATCTTCAGCCTCATGACCCTCCTGTTTAAATACTGCTTTCAAATAAAGACGTGCTGCTGCTGCTGGCTTGCCCTGACCTTTAGAAGGCTCTAGGGTTGCATGCAAAACCACCAAAGGTGTAACCAAACCTTTGGCATGAAGGGCGCATGGTGGGGAAGTCCTCTCTCAAGCATGCGGGAGTGTTCAGCTACTGGGATAAATGTTAAACCCTGATAACTCATCATCATCATCATCATAATTTATTATTTGTACCCTGCCCATCTGGCTGGGTTTCCCTAACCACTCTGGGCAGCTTCCACAGAGACCAAAAATACACTAAAATCTCACACATTAAAAACTTCCCTGAACAGGGCTGCCTTAAGATGTCTTCTGAATGTCAGGTAGTTGTTTATCTCTTTGACATCTGATGGGAGGGCGTTCCACAGGGCGGGCGCCACTACCAAGAAGGCCCTCTGCCTGGTTCCCTGTAGCTTTGCTTCTCGCAGTGAGGGGACCGCCAGAAGGCCCTCGGAGCTGGACCTCAGCGTCCGGGCAGAACAATGGGGGTGGAGACGCTCCTTCAGGTATACTGGACAGAGGCCGTTTAGGGCTTTAAAGGTCAACACCAACACCAACATCATCACATGTGCACACGTCCGAAAAAGTCTGCAGTTCCCCTCTGCTTCTGCCAAGGTGCCCAAGGCGTAGACACCAGCAGAACATCTGCTGCTGTCCGTGCTGGGAAGGGGAGGCAGGGAAAAGGGGGGGGGAGTTAAAACTTTGATTACAGAGAACAATCGTCAGTGTGGTATAGTGGTTAGAGGGTCAGAGGGACCTGCGAGACCGGAGTTCACCCCTCTCCCTCTCTCTTTGGCGATCACTCGTAGCCAAGTAAGATTGTCTTCCATAAACACGGTTTTAAAAGTGAGTCCGAAAGTGACTGTGAAGGCCAATTCTAGATCCACATTCTTCCACAGTGGGGACATTGGTTTCCGGGCGGGAGTTGATCACGGTGTGGATTTGCCAAGCGTGCCTTCCTCCTAGCACGTTTCTCCCTTTTGTCCTGAGTTTGAGTGTCTTCAAAGCCCACGACACCTTTGGTAAAGGCTGTTCTCCAATTGGAGCGCTCGCAGGTCAGTGATTCCCAGTTGTCGGTGTTTATACCACATTTCTTTAGATTTGCCTTGAGAGTCTTTGAACCTCTTTTGTTGACCACCAGCATTACGCTTTCCATTTTAAAGTTCAGAACAGAGTAGTTCATATCCCTGCTTGGTCCAGAAGCTCACTGGGTGATCTTGGGCCAGAGGCACCACCTCTCAGCCTAGCCTACCTCACAGGGCTGTTGTAGAAATTAAATATATAATTATATTTATATAATTATATAAAGTATAATTCCCAGTATCCCTGAAGGAGCGTCTCTACCCCCATCGTTCTGCCTGGACATTGAGGTCCAGCGCCGAGGGCCTTCTGGCGGTTCCCTCATTGCGAGAAGCAAAGCTACAGGGAACCAGGCAGAGGGCCTTCTCGGTAGTAGCGCCCGCCCTGTGGAACGCCCTCCCTTCAGATGTGAAGGAAATAAGCAGCTATCTTCTCTTTAAAAGACATCTGAAGGCAGCCCTGTTCAGGGAAGTTTTTAATGTGTGACATCTTAGCGTATTTTTGGTCTTTGTGGAAGCCGCCCAGAGTGGCTGGGGAAACCCAGCCAGATGGGCGGGGTACAAATAATAAATTATTATATTATTATTATTATTATAAATGAGAGAGGAGACACACACACACACACCCTTGATCACCTGGAAGTCAAAGGTGGGAGGTGAACACAACAAATAAATCAGTTTTCTGGATGCCCAAGTAACTTTGAAGTAGTTTGTAAGGCTGAGGTACTCCCCACCTCACAACGCCTGTTCTCAGTGGCTGGCCAGATGCCCATGGAAAACCCCCCAAGCAGGATTTGAGCACAAGAACGCTCTGTCCTCCTGTGGTTTCCAGCGACTGGAAACCTGCCATTACTGTACGCGGCTTCTTATTAACCTACGACGTGTATTTGGTGCCAAGGCTTCCAAGCGCCAGGTGAAACCATCCTAAGGCTCCAGGAACGCCCTCCTATCAAACATACACGAGACTCTCTTGGTGGGGGTTTAAGTGTCCCATAGATGCTTTATTTAATCGGTACATCACTTTACTGGCAGTACAAACACTCATCACGCACACTCACACACACTTATGGTCCCTCTTCTACGGCAGACGCGGCACAACACGTTTTTTTCTTATGTGAATGGACGGGGTGCGGGGGGGCAGCAGGCTGGTGACTTGAAGGGCAGAGACAGAATGTTGTGTTGGGATGGTAGCACGGGGAGGGTGGGGTGACGCCAGCTATCTCCACTTCCCCACTCCCACCTTTTTCCAGAAAAGCAACCCAGCCCCAACCAGCGGCCTCTCCGCCCCCTTCGCATGTTCAGCCCATGCAGAAGGAAGCGTGGCTAGGAATCCGAACTAGGAATGCCAATTCAAGATGTCCCCCTCGCTTCCCGCAAACCCCCAGCTACAGGTTAAGTGGCAAAAATTTGCTCTGGGCAAGTCACTGATTCAGGGGACCGGGGTGAAGAGAGATGAGCCCTGGGGGGGGGGGTAGCGGCAGGATCTTGCCAGGGGGGAGATCCGAGGCGATCTACTTCTCCGCTCCTCATTCCAAGGATTGCAACATGAGGAGCTGCTTCAGGACCTTCGTCTGGCTGGTCTCTCGGATCTCGCCGGCTAGGAACATCTCGTCTACTACGGTGTAAACCTGCAGAGAAAATAAATGCGTTCCTCCTCTTAGAAAGGGGGCGCTGTGCGGGATCCCCTGGAAATTTCGTTGTCCCCGAAGGGGGCAATGACAATAAAGATATTATTATTATTATTATTATTATTATTATTATTATTATTATTAAAGAATCCAAAGCAACATGTGTCTGGACTTCTCTGCCACCTTTCCAAAAGGGAGCAAAGGAAGTTCTTAATGTTTTATACAGTGGTACCTTGGGTTAAGAACTTAATTCGTTCTGGAGGTCTGTTCTTAACCTGAAACTGTTCTTAACCTGAAGCACCACTTTAGCTCATGGGGCTTCCCGCTGCAGCCTCACAATTTCTGTTCTCATCCTGAAGCAAAGTTCTTAACCCGAGGTACTATTTCTGGGTTAGCGGAGTCTGTAAACTGAAGCGTCTGTAATCTGAAGCGTCCGTAACCTGAGGTACCACTGTATTTTGCTATTTTTTACATACAGTGGTACCTTGGTAGCTGAACTGCTTGGCTCCCGGACACCGCAAACCTGGAAGTGAGTGTTCCGGTTTGCGAACGTTTTTCAGAAGACGAACGTCCGCCGCGGCTTCCAATTGAGTGCAGGAAGCTCCTGCAGCCAATTGGAAGCCACACCTGGGTTTTCAAACCCTTTCGGGAGTCGAACAGACTCCTGGAACGGATTAAATTTGAGAACCAAGGTACCACTGTACGTTGTAAGTTGCCCAGAGTGGCTGGGGAAAGCCAGCCAGATGTGCGGGGTATAAACAATAACTTTATTATTATTATTATTATTATTAAGGGGCGCAAGGCAGAGCCACCCTCTGGTAGCAGATGGCCCAAGTGCAGGACCCAACACTGCTCCAACCCCACCCACCGGGGAGGTACCAGCAAGGTCCAGGTTTTGCCCAGCTGGTTGCAGCTTCCTGAACGTCCGGACTGGGCCCCTCTTCCTGCCTCCTACTCCACAGCAAGGCCTTTCCTCCCCTTGGAAGCTCTTCCTTGCTCCACACTCCTTGCGGTGCATGAATTCTAGGCCTCCAGCTGGCAGGGAAATTTGGCCTTTTGCAGGCTGGGTACGTCTCAAGTCCCATCACTGTTGGATGTCTCACTCCTAGGCCTCACCCTTCCTTGACCCCCTCTCTGCTCCTCCTCTCGAGGTGCCAGAAGCGAGGCCAGGAACACAGAAGCTTCTTTCAGCGGCCACTGAATCAGATACAACTTCATAAAGTGCAGCCTTAGGCAGCTGTCTAACACCACCTTGTGGGCAGGGCTGGCACCAGCAGGTCACCCTGCCCCATTCTTTGCTGGCGCTGTGCCCTGACTGTCTCAGAAACAGCATTTTCCTCAATTACCGTATTTTTCGCTCTATAAGACGCACCAGACCACAAGACGCACCTAGTTTTTGGAGGAGGAAAACAAGAAAAAAAATATTCTGAATCTCGGAAGCCAGAACAGCAAGAGGGATCGCTGCGCAGTGAAAGCAGGAATCTCTCTTGCTGTTCTGGCTTCTGGGATAGCTGCGCAGCCTGCATTCGCTCCATAAGACGCACACACATTTCTCCTTGCTTTTTTGGAGGGAAAAAGTGAGTCTTATAGAGCAAAAAATACGGTATTTATTTTAGTTTTATAATAATAATAAAATTTTATTTATATCCCACTCTCCCCAGCCGAAGCCGGGCTCAGAGCGGCTAACAACAATAAAAGTAACACAACATTCTAAAATCAATTCAATTTAAAATCAATTCAAAATCAAATTCATGGCAACCATTGGGCTAGAGTTCTGTGAGGAGTACCGAAGGAGGGGGTCAGACGGCGCCTTGGCCAAAGGCCTGGTGGAACAGCTCCGTCTTGCAGGCCCTGCGGAAAGATGTCAAGTCCCGCAGGGCCCTGGTCTCTTGTGACAGAGCGTTCCACCAGATCGGGGCCACGGCCAAAAAAGCCCTGGCTCTGGTTGAGGCCAGCCTAACCTCTCTGTGGCCTGGGACCTCCAAGATGTTTTTGTTTGAAGACTGTAAGGTCCTCCGTGGGACATACCAGGAGAGGTGGTCCTGTAGGTATGAGGGTCTTAGGCCGTAGAGGGCTTTAAAGGTTAAAACCAGCACCTTGAACCTGATCCTGCACTCCACCGGGAGCCAGTGCAGCTGGTATAGCAGCTTTAATTTAATTTAATTTAATTTAACAACATTAAAGAGACAATGAACACATGACCCATGTAGGTGCACAGACTTAGCAAAGCACAAGACCCCTTTTCTTTAAGGATGGCAAGAGTGTGTACCAAACCGGCGTTCTTCCCCTTTTATTTCAGTGGCCCTTTTAAGTCAATTCCAATCCCATGGTTAGTTTTTCATTGAATTTACCTCTTAAGCTCATTGTGCAGCGCCTGTAATCATACGGCATATGAATTGTCAGGCTAGATAACACAAGAGCCCCAATCTTTTTTTATCCACAAGCGCGGTTTGTTTTCCTTCCTCGTTCTGCCTTATTGGAAAAGGGTCAGGGAACAAAAACCCACCTTGTAGAAGTTGAAGACGAGGTCAAGCTCACAGACGTTGTGGAAATATTCATTCAGCACCTGGGAAGAGAGGAGGAGGAAGGGAGTCATGATTTTGGGGGGCCACAGTCATGCGCAAGGACGGTGCCTAACATTTGCAAGGCCAGTCATAGCTCAGAGGTGGAGCGCTAATTTTGCACAGTTCTGGCATGTCCAGTGAAAAGGATCAGGAAAAGACCCTTATCTCTGCCACTTTGAATAGACAATACAGTGGTAAAAGGTAAAGGGACCCCTGACCATTAGGTCCAGTTGTGACCGACTCTGGGGTTGCGGCGCTCATCTCGCTTTATTGGCCGAGGGAGCCGGCGTACAGCTTCCGGGTCATGTGGCCAGCAGGACTAAGCCGCTTCTGGCGAACCAGAGCAGCGTACGGAAACGCCGTTTACCTTCCCGCCGGAGTGGTACCTATTTATCTACTTGCACTTTGACGTGCTTTCGAACTGCTAGGTTGGCAGGAGCAGGGACCGAGCAATGGGAGCTCACCCCGTCGCTGGGATTCGAACCGCCGACCTTCTGATCAGCAAGTCCTAGGCTTTGTGGTTTAACCCACAGCACCACCCGCTCTGCCACTTTGAATAGACAATACAGTGGTACCTTGGGTTAAGTACTTAATTCGTTCTGGAGGTCCGTTCTTAACCTGAAACTGTTCTTAACCTGAAGCACCACTTTAGCTAATGGGGACTCCTGCTGCTGCTGCTGCGCCATGGGAGCCCGATTTCTGTTTTCATCCTGAAGCAAAGTTCGTAACCTGAAGCACTATTTCTGCATTAGCGGAGTCTGTAACCTGAAGTCTCTGTAACCTGAAGCGTCTGTAACCCAAGGTACCACTGCATTGGGATAGGGGTTGAAAACTTTCTGGGGGGGCATCTTCAATTTCTGAAGGCGTGCCATGGACACAACCCCTCCTGGTTGCTTCCCGCCTCCTGCCCCAGGTCACTCAATCCTCCTCCTCGCCATAAGACAAACAGAACAAGAGGACATCTCTCTGCTCAGTCCCCTTTCACTTGTACCCCCTCTGCCACTCCACTCCTATGCTGGCGTGTCCCTTAATAAAAGGACATAGAACTGAAAAGAGTTATCTCCTGCTTGGACTACTGCAATGCACTCTACGTGGGTCCAGCTTTGAAGGTGACCCGGAAACCACAACTAATCCAGAACGCGGCGGCTAGGCTGGTGACTGGGAGTGGCTGCTGAGACCATATAACACCAGTCCTGAAAAACCTACATTGGCTCCCAGTACGTTTCCAAGCACAATTCAAAGCGTTGGTGCTGACCTCTAAAGCCCTAATATAACAACAACAACAACAACAATAATTTATTATTTGTACCCCACCCATATGGCTGGGTTTCCTCAGCCACTCTGGGCGGCTTCCAACAAAGATTAAAAATACATTAAAATGTCACACATCAAAAACTTCCCTGAACAGGGCTGCCTTCAGATGTCTTCTAAATGTCAGGTAGTTGTTTATCGCTTTGACATCTGATGGGAGGGCGTTCCACAGGGCGGGTGCCACTACCGAAAAGGCCCTCTGCCTGGTTCCCTGTAGCTTTGCTTCTCACAATGAGGGAACCGCCAGAAGGCCCTCGGCGCTGGACCTCAGCATCCAGGCAGAACGATGGGGGTGGAGACGCTCCTTCAGGTATACAGGACCGAGGCCATTTAGGGCTTTAAAGGTCAACACCAACACCTAAACAGCCTCGGCCCAGTATACCTGAAGGAGTGCCTCCACCCCCATTGTTCAGCCGGACACTGAGGTCCATCTCCGAGGGCCTTCTGGAAGTTCCCTCACTGGGAGAAATGAGGTTACAGGGAACCAGGCACGGGAGCACTTGATCGCACAATCTTCCACCCAGAGTCTAAAGTGGTACCGTTCAGAAATAATTACCACCTCATCTGCGCTGGGGCATCGCTTATCATGCCTGGGTGTGAAAGCACACACGCGTGGGCATTCTTAGGGCACAGACTTAAGCCTGCAGGTACTACTCACCTCCACAAAGTTGTGAATGGCTTCTAGGTAGGCGAGGTTGTTGTCGTTCACATCCACACAAATGCAGAAATAAAGCCCTGCGTAGCGCCTGTAGATAATTTTGAAGTTGCGGAACTGGGGGGGGGGAGAGAGAGAGAGAGAGAGAAAAGGTGGTGAAAATAGCGATCACTGGATAGAAGCACAAGATGGTGTCTATTGCAGGTTAGGGTAGGACTGTGGAGACTGGAAAGGGGAAAGCCTCCTATTGCTATCCACCTAGCGTTGAAGGACTATACAAAAATGACCTCAATAGGCAGAGGTTGGAGGGCCATCTGTCATGGATGCTTTAGCTGGGATTCCCGCATTGCAGAGGGCCGAACCAGAGCCTTTGGGGTTCCTTTCAACTCTACAGTTCTACGATTCTATGACCCATTAAAAAGGTCTTTATTCTCGCTTGCTGTGCAACTGCAGGTGTCAATACAAGTACAGTGGACCCTTGGTTGTTTGGATTCAAAGGAAGCTGAGCCATGGTTAAATGCCATGAAGGCTGAGCTTGATTCCTTAGAAAGGAACAAAACATGGGAGCTAGTTCCAGTAGTTCCAGGAATGAAACTGCTTGGAAGCAAATGGGTCTTCAAAGCGAAGACAGATCAAAATGGCAAGATAGTCAGACACAAAGCCAGATTGGTAGCCAGAGGTTTTGCACAGGTACCAGGTCAAGACTATCACGAGACCTATTCACCCACAGTGAGATATGAAAGCATTAGGCTTATGCTTAAGCTAGCTGCAGAAGAAAATCTACACATTAGTCACCATGATATTAATACAGCTTTTCTGTACGGATCTCTAGATGAATCACTTTATATGCTTCCACCTGATGGCGTACAGGTAAAACAGGGATTTGTTTGTGCTCTGAAGAAATCCTTTATGGTCTCAAACAAAGTGCACGGTGTTGGCACACAAAACTCACTGAAGTATTGTTTTCTCTAGGTTTTCAGCAAGGGAATTGAGCATCTTGGAAGCTGAACAATTCAGAACCCGAACACCAAAAACCAAGAAGTAATTGCTTCCGTTTTTGAACGTGCCTCAGAAGTCAAACGGCTTCCGAGAAGCGTTTCTCAATTTTTTCAATGGATTTTGCCAACCGCCCATTGATCCTCGGTTTTGGGGCGTTTTGGAAGTCGAACGGTTTTCCGGAATGGATTACGTTCAGAAACCGAGGTTCCATTGTAACAGAGTTTGGCATTCAGAGAATATGCACTTCTAAGATTACTTTAGATTGTAATCCTGGTGGTTTTTTAACTGCTCCGAGAGCCTTTTTAGCCAAAGAGCAGGATAAAAAATACTTTCAATAAGTAAATAGCAGTGTCTTCTTCCCCTTGTCCTTCAAATTCCTAACTGGCATAAATACAGATAGATACAGTGGTACCTCTTGTTAAGAACTTAATTTGTTCCAGAGGTCCGTACTTAACCTGAAACTGTTCTTAACCTGAAGCACCACTTTAGCTAATGGGGCCTCCTGCTGCCGCCGCGCCGCCGGAGCCCGATTTCTGTTCTCATCCTGAAGCAAAGTTCTTAACCCGAGGTACTATTTCTGGGTTAGCAGAGTCTGTAACCTGAAGCGTCTGTAACCTGAAGTGTATGTAACCCAAGGTACCACTGTAGAGGCTTTTGCTGGTGTTTTATGCTGTAGTGGAAGCTGCCTCCAGGACTTTGTGACACCTGGTACAGTGGTACCTCTGGTTGCGAACAGGATCCGTTCCGGAGCCCTGTTTGCAGCCTGAAAAGAACGCAACCCGCGTCTGCGCATGCACAGGTCGCAATTCGCCGCTTCTGCGCATGACGTCATTTTGTGTGTCTGTGCATGCGCGAGTGGCAAAACCCAGAAGTAACCCCTTCCATTACTTCCGGGTCGCCACGGGATGCAACCTGAAAACGCGCAATCTGGAGCGAATGTAACATGAGGTATGACTGTACTCAGAAACACAGAGATCAGGCAAGAGGGTGCTCACACAGCAAAGGATGGCAGGTAACCCAAGCCTTCCAGGCAAGCCATGTTACAGCTAAAGATCCTAAGAGACTCTGCCCTTCAATCCCCTCCGCCGAAGCCAGTTCGGCCTGCGGAAGGCAAAAGCACGACAGCTTCATACGCAAAGGAAAGCCGCGAGCGGACAGAGACGTTACCTCGACAAAGTTGGTGTGCTTTGCGTCCCGCACAGTCACAACAGCATGAACCTCCTCAATGAGTTTCTGCTTCTCGTCATCGTCAAACTGCATGTACCACTTGGCCAGACGCGTTTTGCCAGCACGGTTCTGGATCAGAATAAAGCGAATCTGTAGGAGAGGGAAGAAAGCAGCATCAAAGATACCTGGGATTTAATAAGCACTCTCCAGACTACTGGGATGCGGGTGGCGCTGTGGGTTAAACCACAGAGCCTAGGACTTGCCGATCAGAAAGTCGGTGGTTCGAATCCCCGCGATGGGGTGGGCTCCCGTTGCTCGGTCCCAGCTCCTGCCAACCTAGCAGTTCGAAAGCACCTCAAAGTGCAAGTAGATAAATAGGTACCACTCCAGCAGGAAGGTAAACGGCATTTCCGTGCGCTGCTCTGGTTCGCCGGAAGTGGCTTAGTCATGCTGGCCACATGACCCAGAAGCTGTACGCCGGCTCCCTCAGCCAATAAAGCGAGATGAGCGCCGCAACCCCAGAGTCGGTCACGACTGGACCTAATGGTCAGGCGTCCCTTTACTCCAGACTACTGATACCCGGGACATGCTTATTAAAAAACAAATTACAGCTGAGAATACCCTTTGCTCTTGGGTATTTGTTTGTACAGTGTGCAGGGGTAGAGAATTGCCTATGGTCACTGTCGGAGTATCCTTTCTTATCAGGACACAAGCAATGTTCGAAATTCCCCAGGCGCCAGGTGCGTTTTGCAACTGGCACAGGTTCAATCGCGACCATGTGGAGATCTCTGAATTCCAGGCTGGCAAATAATCTCCGACCTCTCAGGCCCTACTCTGACATTCTAACCACTGCACCAGACTGTCTTCCTAGAGTACTTCTGCTATGGGGCAGCTATATAAATTAAATAGGTAAATAAATATGGGGAAAGCAAAATATCACTTAGAGAAGGCTCTGAAATATTTTCCTGGAAGCTTGAATTTGTTTTATTCCGGATTCTTTTAATGTGTTGCAAACCGCTTTGAGGTTTTTTCTTTGAATTATAAAGCGGTATAGAAATGAAATGAGGAACACCACCACAAAAATCACATTGCAAAAGAAAGGCGCCTAGACATTTCGTGGTGACCATAACCTAGCTTTAAGGTGCTATTTGGCAATTAGCTTATTTATCTGAGTTTCTAACACTGGACATAAGCCAAGAGCTGCCGCTCACTCAGAGATAAAGGCCTGCCTACCTTGGGAACAAGCCTCTGCACCGTGAATGGCTGGGCCAAGCGTAACTAATGCACACACACATTGTGGCTTCACCCCCCCCCAAAAGGCTGAGTGGAAAGGAGCAAGGACAGAGCAGGCACTCAGACAGAGAAGCAACAGGCCTCCTCCTCAAGGCATGGATGCCTTGGGACAGTTGTTACTCATTTCCCACAATGTATTACAGAGCCTCCCAAGAATTATAGCTTATAGTTTAACGCTCACTTTAAGCTCAGCAGGCTTTATGCCCAAGCAAGCCTGTACAGCAGTGGTGTCCAAACTTTTTTCAAAGAGGGCCAGATTTGATGAAATGAAGGGCCGTGAGGGTAGACCAAAGGGCCAACCAAGGTTTTTGACCTTTTTTTTAGGATTGATGTTATCAAAGTTTTTTTAGGATTTCCCCCCAAGAAATAAACTGACACAGGGGGCCGGATTAAACCAACCGGATTAGGCCTCTGAAACGCCTTCACATTCCCATTGAATGATCCCCTTCCTTTTGGGGGGGGCATTGTGTTGTCCTATTACTCGGAGGCTTGCAAAGATGCAAATCAGAGACCACACCTGAGATCACCCATTTTCCAAATTAGCCTGAGGGCCAGTCTAAGGGATAACAGCCATGCAGATTTTAACTTTTTGTAAAATGCAAACATTCACAGGGGTTCCGAGTCTTCCTCCCAACATGGGGGCGGTTTAATGCTGAAACTCAGCCTTTGCCAACCTGGTGCCCTTTGGATGCACTACAACACCCCTCACATTTTGGCTAGGGCTGGTGGGAGGGAAACTGGGCTGTTGAAGGCTCTCCTGACCAGAACAGTTCCTGCCTCTCTTGCCAGATCTCCCAGCTGCTTCCTTCCCCTTTCCTCCCCCTGACTTCCTTTCGCTGTGTTGTGCATGGATTGTGCTTGAGGGTGTCCCTAAAGAACAGAGCAGCTATTTCTGGTCAGCCTCCATCCATGTCTCTTCATGCCTAGTGTGCTCAGGAGATAGGAAAGGGACCCACCCTGTATGGAGAAAGCCAGCCCAGCAGAATCAGCAAAGACAAACAAGGGATGGCTGGCTATCTGTTCCAGCATCACGTGATGTTGCTGTTTCCAAAAAATAAAATAAAAAGAGGCTGAACAAGCGTCTACACCAGGGATAGGCAACCTGGGGCTTGGGAATTTGTTCATTTCTCCCCCCCCCCAAATATAGTCCGGCCCCCCACAAGGTCTGAGGGACAGTGGACCGGTCCCCTGCTGGAAAAGTTTACTGACCCCTGCAGAAAAGATTCCTACATCTAAAGAAGCCCAAGAAGGCTATGGTTTGTAGCTAGTGTGAGTCCTACTCAGAGTAGACCCACTGGAATGAATGGGCATAATAATAATAAATTTTTATTTATACTCCGCCCTTCCTGGTTCGAATAGGCTCTTGCACATGGGTAGGCAAACTAAGGCCAGGGGGCCGGATCTGGCCCAATCGCCTTCTCAATCTGGCCCGCAGACGGTCCGGGAATCAGCGTGTTTTTTACATGAGTAGAATGTGTCTTTTTATTTAAAATGCATCTCTGGGTTATTTGTGGGGCATGAGAATTCCTTCATTATTATTTTTCAAAATATAGTCCGGCCCCACACATGGTTGGAGGGACGGTGACCGGCCCACGGCTGAAAAAGGCTGCTGACCCCGATCCACACCATCCACTTTCCTCATCACAGAGGCGGCACGACAGCGGTGGCACACCTCCCGAGAGATCTGGTCCCAAGTATGACAGGAGATCCACTGCCCTGTCACCTCCCAAAGGATACTGCCTGGGCATAAAAGCTTTCAGGGAATGAGCAAGCTACAGGGAAACACAGGAGAGGAGGGCAGTGCAAGTTTGGCGCTGCAAGAATCTTTGCGCTCCAGCCCAAAGTGCAGGCACGCATGGGTCACTCTCTCCCGAGGTTCTGTCTCCCACTGCATGGGTCACTTCTGACACCAGGTGGCACCCTGCATTCTCCACCAGGGGCCAATGTGGTCCTTCAAAGCGCTGTGAGGGACGCTGGTGGCACTGTGGTTTAACCCACAGAGCCTAGGACTTGCCAATCGGAAGGTTGGCGGTTCGAATCCCCGTGACAGGGTGAGCTCCCGTTGCTCGGTCCCAGCTCCTGCCAACCTAGCAGTTCAAAAGCACGTCAAAGTGCAAGTAGATAAATAGGTACCGCTCTGGCGGGAAGGTAAATGGCGTTTCCGTGTGCTGCTCTGGTTCGCCAGAAGCGGCTTAGTCATGTTGGCTACATGACCCGGAAGCTGTACGCCGGCTCCCTCGGCCAATAAAGCGAGATGAGCGCCGCAACCCCAGAGTCGGTCACGACTGTACCTAATGGTCAGGGGTCCCTTTACCTTAAAAGGTATAGGACCCCTGGATGGTTAAGTCCAGCCAAAGGCGACTGTGGTGTTGCGGCACTCATTTCGCTTTCAGGCTGAGGGAGCCGGCGTTTGTCCACAGGCAGCTTTCCGGGTCATGTGGCCAGCAGGACTAAACCGCTTCTGGCGCAACGGGACACCATGACGGAAACCAGAGTGCACAGAGACGCAGTTTACCTTCCCGCCACAGCGGTGCCTATTTATCTACTTGCACTGGCGTGCTTTCGAACTGCTAGGTCGGCAGAAGCTGGGACAGAGCAACGGGAGCTCACTCCGTCGCAGGGATTCAAACCACCGACCTTCGGACTGGCAAGCCCAAGAGGCTCAGTGGTTTAGATCACAGTGCCACCCGCGTCCTGGCTGTAACATCCCCTTGCACTGTGAAACACCATGCCTGAATTGAAGCTTCCGCTCCTTCGATATTCAGACGTCAGCGAATATTCTGTAAGCAGAAACACCCATGGAAAAGACTGCTTGCGTTTCTTTGCATTAAAAAATAAATAAATGCAGACACCCAAATTAACAGATAGTGCCCCTTGTTATCCAACAAGCTTGTTTAGCGGATATGCGTTTCCACGGAAAAGCCACAAGGGAAATGAGAGTTGCACAACTAACAGACAAATCCTTCCCTTTAGAATCTCTCCTCCCGCAAGAATTGACAAGAGAGGAAGTGCCACAGATCCGCAAGCATGTTATCTCTCTCCAGAATTCTCAAGGACAGATACTTCCAAAGAATACTGTGTTCAGGCCCGAGCATACGTTTTTAAAAAATAAATTATAAAATCAGATCTTAATGCACATTTTTAGGAGTGATATTCAAGATCTGAACCAGAAAAAAACATGTTATGATTTGCATATTATTCTAGTATCAAGAGACCAAAAAGAAATCTACTTTGAAGCCACACCACAAGCTAGGAGCACAGCTCCATCCACACCACAGCTGAAGCGAAGCAAAGACCTCACATTAAGAAATGTGAAGATTCCAGGTAACTCAAGCAAGCAAGCCAAGCCACAGAAAGAGGCCAGTCTCCACCCCACTCTAATGAAGTGGACCACTTCCAAAAAGGATTTGCACAATATCCAGCTAGAAGAGTTTGACAAGGAACTCTTTATAGGAATACAAGTTGTAACAAACTCTACTGAACCCAAGAAGGGCGGGGGGAGTTGCAATATTTAGCTAATAAACCACAACCACTCTTTTCGCAAATCAAAAGGTTTGGATGGCTTGTATCAGGAAGCACAACTTGCTTTTCTAAAAAGTTTGTTTTTAATTTAAGTGCAGATGGGAAGCAAAATAACAGAACGCCTTTTCTAAAATGGTTTTCGCCAAGATAAAACAAGTATATTTTTACCTGCAGAAATATTATCTTATTCATAGGCAAATGTAGAACAGTTTAATCCTCTTACAACTGACTAAGATTCCTTGATTTATGTGACAGACCAACCACAAAAGAACAGAGTCCCTCTGGAGACTGTGAAGTCTCCTTCCATGGAGGTTTTTAAGCAGAGGTCGGATGGCCATCTGTCATGGATGCTTTAGTTGAGGTTCCTCAAAATGCAGGGGGTTGGACCCTTCCAACTCCAAAACTCTACGATTCTATTAAAGGCACGCCATAATCTTGAACCCACTGTGTCTGCAATGCACTACACCAGGGGTCAGCCTGGTTTGAATCCCCGCGACGGAATGAGCTCCTGTTGATCTGTCCCAGCTTCTGCCAACCTAGCAGTTCAAAAGCACGCCAGTACAAATAGATAAATAGGTACTGCTGTGGCGGGAAGGTAAACATCCTTCTACTCATGTAAAAACACCAGGCAGGCCCCACAAATAACCCAGAGATGCATTTTTAAATAAAAGGACACATTCTTCTCATGTAAAAACAGGCTGATTCCCAGACCGTCCGCAGGCCAGATTTAGAAGGCGACTAGGCCGGCCCTGGCCCCCAGGCCTTAGGTTGCCTACCCATGCACTACACTCAAGTCACTGGATTACAAACCATAATATGTTGCAGTGGAAATATTGGCATTTCTGGATAATTCCACTTGCTGGGTTTCCTAGAGAGCACTTGGTGATCAGGGGGAAAGGGAATAGGAAGAAGAAAAGATGCAACTTCTATGAGCATGGACTGCTCTCTGCCCTGAAAAACAACCACCTCCTCTGCATGTGCCAGTCAAATGGGGCACTACCACCATCTCCTGTAGGCATCTTCTAGCTACTTTCCAACTTTGGGCAGCACTTGCACATCCCTCCTCCCAATAGGAAAATCCCACTAAGTCCATGCACACTCTCCAAGTTGCGCATCAAGAGGAGGATTCCGGTTTATTGTTATTTATTTCGCAAATTTATAAACTGCCTTGCAGCCCCAAAGGCAAAAGTAAAGCACATTTTCTAGAAACAATGAAAACAATATAAATGATACAGCCATAGATGTACAGTTAATATTTCAGAAATGCCTGGATCAAGCACAGGGAAAGCCTGCTTAAAACTTTACTGTTATCCCACCAAATCCTTGCTTCTGACAGTGGAGGCAGCGCATAGCCGCCATGGCTAGCAACCATTCAAAGCCTTCTCCTCCACAAATACTCTCTCTCCCCAACCCACATACCCCTTGCACATTTGGAGCAGAGGATCATAGAAAGCTGCCTTATACCAAGTCAGAAGAACCAGTGCCCCATCTTGCTCATGTACTGCCCACTCCAGCCTTTGCTCAACCTTTGGTCCCATCATCCCCAACCATGGCACCCTTCTATCTGTGGACGATGGGAGTTGTAGTCCAATGACGAGAACAACGGCCTGGCAAAATAAAAATCCTTCCAGTAGCACCTTAGAGACCAACTAAGTTTGTTATTGGTATGAGCTTTCGTGTGCATCTGAAGAAGTGTGCATGCACACAAAAGCTCATACCATAAACAAACTTAGTTGGTCTCTAAGGTGCTACTGGAAGGTATTTTTTTATTATTATTTTGTTTCGACTATGGCAGACCAACACGGCTACCTATCTGTAATGGCCTGGCAGTAGTCCTCTGGGATTTCAGGCAGGGAGCCTCTCCCAGCCCTACCTGGTATTGAACCGTCGACCTTCTGCTTGCAAGGCAGGCGCTCTAAACCACTGAGCTATGGCAAGGTTGGCGCAGCACGCCAGGTGATTTAAAGCTCTGGACGTGGGTGGTGCTGTGGGTTAAACCACAGAGCCTAGGACTTGCCGATCAGGTCAGCGGTTCGAATCCCCGCGACGGAGTGACCTCCCGTTGCTCGGCCCCTGCTCCTGCCCACCTAGCAGTTCGAAAGCACGTCAAAGTGCAAGTAGATAAATAGGTACCACTCTGGCGGGAAGGTAAACAGCGTTTCCGTACGCTGCTCTGATTCGCCAGAAGCGGCTTAGTCATGCTGGCCACATGACCCGGAAGCTGTACGCCGGCTCCCTCGGCCAGTAAAGCGAGATGAGCGCCGCAACCCCAGAGTCGGCTACGACTGGACCTAATGGTCAGGGGTCCCTTTACCTTTACCCTTTATGCCAATGGCCTTAGCAAGGTCGGCTTCAGGATGCGGCCACAGAACCCTGCTGCTCATTCTGCTTGCCGTGGGCCGTGGGCTTCTGACCCTGAGAGAAGCATGAGCACAACACCAGAGGCCTACCTTGCAGGGCAATCGCTAGGGCCTTGAAGCATCGCAGCAAATGCTAATATTGAAAATTGGCATAATTGGAATTATCATTATTTCTTCCACCAGCAACCTCTTTCCCGCCCCACACCCAACACCCTGGACCCCTGGATTTGGGGGCCCCCATTGCTGACCCTGCCTTCCCTCCCCCTCCGGCTGAGCCCCATATTTCAAGCCCCTCCCCACCCCATTCTTACCATGGCGACCCCCTGCCCTAAATCCTCTTTCCACGCAGAGCTCGGGGCAGCTGCTCCGACACCCCTCCCCGGACCCTCCCTTCCCACCGGATATCCGGTGAGGCGCACGCCCCGGCCCCCCGGGCAGTCGGGAGTTGTAGTCTTCAGAATGGCTGCAGGAGGAGGAACGCCGTCGAGAGGGCTAAAACCCGCCCCCGCCAGGGCTATACGCCGACTCGGCGTTGCATGCCGGGAGTTGTAGTTCCTCCGACCTGAGCGGTTAATGGGAGTACGGAATGGTCCCCTGAATCAATCAGGGCAAGGCTGCCTCCAGCAGGGGGAGCCCGAGCTACGCGGCGCTCGCGCCAAGCCGGGGACTTGTCGGGAGGAGCGAAGCCCAGCGCTTCGTAGGGCAGGCCCCGCCAGGCCGCTACTTGAGCCCCCGGCTTTGGCAAGGCCTGGTAGGCCCTGAGCGGGGCTGAGGCAAAGGGGGTGCCGCAGAAGGGGGCGCCCTCGCCTCAGGGCAGGTTATTGGAAATGGAGGTTGTTGGAAATGGGTGCCCTTCAAGAGGCGCATAAAATAAATTGTTGTTTAGTCGTTTAGTTGTGTCCGACTCTTCGTGACCCCACAGACCAGAGCACACCAGGCACTCCTGTCTTCCACTGCCTCCCGCAGTTTGGTCAGACTCATGTTTGTAGCTTCGAGAACACCGTCCAACCATCTCGCCCTCTGTCGTCCCCTTCTCCTTGTGCCCTCCATCTTAGGTGGCCAAAGCATTGGAGTCTCAGCTTCAGGATCTGTCCTTCCAGTGAGCACTCAGGGCTGATTTCCTGAAGAATGGATAGGTTTGATCTTCTTGCAGTCCATGGGACTCTCAAGAGTCTCCTCCAGCACCATAATTCAAAAGCATCCATTCTTCGGCGATCAGCCTTCTTTATGGTCCAGCTCTCACTTCCATACATCACTACTGGGAAAACCATAGCTTTTACTATACGGACCTGTGTTGGCAAGGTGATGTCTCTGCTTTTTAAGATGCTGTCTTAGGTTTGTCATTGCTTTTCTCCCAAGAAGCAGGCATCTTTTAATTTCGTGGCTGCTGTCACCATCTGCAGTGATCATGGAGCCCAAGAAGGTAAAATCTCTCACTGCCTCCATTTCTTCCCCTTCTATTTGCCAGGAGGTGATGGGCCCAGTGGCCATGATCTTCGTTTTTTTGAAGTTGAGCTTCAGACCATATTTTGTGCTCTCCTCTTTCACCTTCATTAAAAGGTTCTTTAATTCCTCCTCACTTTCTGCCATCAAGGTTGTGTCATCTGCATATCTGAGGTTGTAGATATTTCTTCCGGCAATCTTAATTCCGGCTTGGGATTCATCCAGCCCAGGCTTTCGCACGATGAATTCTGCATATAAGTTAAATAAGCAGATAAAATAAATAAAATGCCCCAATTTGCATGTGAAATATACCTTCTCTCCTCCACCCCACTGTGAAGCAGGGGCAGGCATAAGGTGGACCAGGATCCAGGGTAGAGCTCTTGGTCGTTTGTAGGGGTTTCCGATTCCCAAATGTTGAACAGTGGAGACAACGACCGGGTCTTCTCCCCATTCCTTCTGAGTTAGGCCACAGAAACAAAGGAAATTTATTCATTTATTTTATTTATTTAAAGCATTTTTATCCAGGTCTTCAGCCACAAAGGATCCCAGATGTCAGGCTTGCAAAGGAATCGGGAGGATGGAGGGAAAAGATTGTCCAGGAACTATTATTCCTAAGTTACAGAGTTTTCAAAACGACCAGCTGGAATGGAAAGATTTCTCTTTTTAAAAACAGAATGGGGAAAATTTAGAGACTATTTGAAGACACATTGTAAACAAAACTAAAAACATCAGCAGGACTGATATACACATGTGCAGTAGGAGTCAATTAAGGGGAAGATAAGGAGAAATTTGTAAATATATTTGAATTGGATACGCAGCAATAAGAAGATATGAAATAAATAACTGCAGAAAGGAGAGGAGGGAAGTCGAGAGGAAGGTAAATTAAGATGTGTAAAGATTCAGTTTTTCTTGTTTAAGGTAAAGGTAAAGGGACCCCTGACCATTAGGTCCAGTCGTAGCCGACTCTGGGGTTGCGGCGCTCATCTTGCTTTATTGGCCAAGGGGGCCAGCGTACAGCTTCCGGATCATGTGGCCAGCATGACTAAGCCGCTTCTGGCGAACCAGAGCAGCACATGGAAACACCCTTTACCTTCCTGCCGGAGCGGTACCTATTTATCTACTTGTACTTTGACGTGCTTTTGAACTGCTAGGTTGGCAGGAGCAGGGACTGAGCAACGGGAGCTCACCCCGTTACGGGGATTCAAACCGCTGACCTTCTGATTGGCAAATCCTAGGCTCTGTGGTTTAACCCACAGTGCCACCCGCGTCCCTGATAAATGAGAGAGAAGGCTGCTAAAGCTGGCCTTTGAGCAGGAAAGATGGAGGGGCTCTGCAGATCCATCTGTCTTTGCAGCCTGATGGAATGCTTAGGTGGAAACCCAGGAGTGGATTTTTTGTGTCGCAGGACCGTGAGTGTAATTCTGATCCTGGAAGACAAATTCCTGATCTTAACAGGTGCACGGACAGAGGCACCCTGTTGCCCATGTACTTTTAAGAATGTTTGAGCCACACTTTGGGCTTCGGTTGGTGCATCTCAGAAGTTATATTAAAAAGGGGGAACACCCCAAGGTAGATCACCTAAGCCTGATGTCTGCGCTCCCCTACCATGAAGTTTGAAATGAGCAAGAGAGGAGAAGGAAGTCCCCGGGGACTGTGTGATGTAAAGGCAGTGACTTTGATTCCCAGCCTGTCACCCTGAAGCTAGGAAGTCTGGGTGTTGGCTCCTGCAATGAGTCAAACGCTGCTAATTGCTAGCTCTATTTATGTATCGTGTCCTGGGATGGGGCTGGCATTCAGAGCAGAGGTGTCTAGGATAAACGTCTGCTCCCCAGCGCGGGCTGACAGCTGCCTCCCACCCTTGCTCTGGCGGAGGATTTCCAGAGGAGCAGAAAGCCAGAAGCAATTCGTAGGTCTGCCTCGCTTAGCAAGAAAAAAAAATATGTATGGCTTTTCAGAGTGCTATAATACAGACATGGTTTTTTCCTTTTATTTCATGGTGGTGGGGAGCACCATCAAAATATTGCACCATTTCAAAACTGGGACTTTCCCACCGCTAGTTCTCGTCAGCTACGTGTTTCGGAGAGGCTGTCACTCTCTGGGCAAACACATCCTTTGCATGCACAATGTCCCAACCGCAGCCTCTGGCATCTCCAGTTGAAAGAATCTCAGGCAGCAGATGATGTAAAAGATCTGAGTACCGTACAGTGGTTCCTTGGGTTACACACACTTGGGTTACAGATGCTTCGGGTTACAAACTCCGCTAACCAGGAAGTGGTTGCTCCAGGTTAAGAACTTTGCCCCAGGATAAGAACGGAAATCGCGCGCCAGCGGCAGCAGGGGGGCCCATTAGCGAAAGCGCGCCTCACCTTAAGAACTGTTTCAGGTTTAGAACAGACCTCTGGAGCGAATTAAGTTCTTAACCTGAGGTAGTTTGAAACTGCCAATCAGCCTTCCTGGGTTAGATGGGAGGAACCTTTGACCTATGTTTAAAGCAGATCTAACACAAATTTAAAACACCGGGCTTTCACCAGAGCATGCCGGGAATTGTAGTTTGTTGGGGTGCTGGGGACTGTAGCTTATGTGAAGAGTAAAGTACAGTTCCCAGGATTCTTTAGCGTAAGTGCTGTGCTTTCATTGCTCAGTATACCCAAATGCTTTACAATCCCATCTCATGTTGGAAAAGTGACCCATTACTTTGGTGGTCCTGGAGAAGCGAAGGATTCCTCACTCTATCCCCAAGGACCTCCGTTGGAGCAAAACCTCCAAGGCCAGCAGAAAAAGTTGGGAAGGAGTCTGTTAAGTTGTGGGTGAACATATCAGACGACACAGCGATTCTTCAGAGAGCTCTTGTTTACTCACAGGCCAGAACAGAGCTGAACTGAAGAGTTCAGCCAGCCTGCTTATATAGAGCTCCACTACAACGCAACAGTAACAACTTTCTGTAACTATCCAATCACTGAACGTCACTTTCAATTCCTTATTTGCATATGTGGACCTGAGTGAAAACTATCTACAGTATCCCCCTGCTGGCCCAGGGTGAGAACTTCAGTACATAACAGAGTCCTAGATGCGCCTTAACTTGATGTTGTATGGAGTTTGCATGGAGCGTTTTGGGGCACCCCCTAGAACTAACCCAGACCTCCACCTTTTGTGCCTTGCCTCTCTCTTGCTGTTCTGAGCCTGTGCCGACTTCCCTAGATCAATGGGAAAGCAGGACATGTGCCCTCTCCCCTTTCCCAGTGGCAGCCTCTTCTCATTTTGGTAAGACAGCAGGGCTCCATCAGGCAAAATCCTTGGGGAGAGTCTGCAGCCATTGCCTGGACCCCCTGCCCCCATATAAGAAGCTGTTGGGATGGGTGCTTGTCTGGATGGGAACCTGCAACCCTCCAGATGTTTCTGGACTACAGGAAAAAAGGAACCTCCCCTCTTGTTTCCTCATTGCCTGCTTGCTTATTTCCATCTGAAACATGTCTGGGCAAAGTTCTGGTCTAGGAAGGAGCAGAGTTCAAATCTCAGTGTCCACAATGAGCCTGGATGAGAAATATTGACACAAGCCTTTGCAGCAGTAAAGGTCACCGCAAAATAAACGGCTTTAGTTGAAAAGTAACAAATATTATAAAGGCTGTTTGCTTCCCCTGTGACTTTCACCGGCTCCTCCCCTTCACCTTTGCAAAGATCTGATCTGAGATGCTCAGAAAGCTGGACCTACCTTTCTTCCTAATCTAATGCCAGATGTGGAGATATAGGGCATTTAAAGGTCATTTGACACACATTTGAAGCACCTGGCTCCCTGCCCGAAATTCCTGCGAACTACAGTTTAAGGGTGCTGGGACTTGTAGCTCTGTGCAAGGGAAACTGCAGTTCTCAGGACTCTTTGGGTGAAGTAAGTAAAGGTAAAGGGACCCCTGACCATTAGGTCCAGTAGTGGCTGACTCTGGGGTTGCGGCGCTCATCTCGCTTTATTGGCC